GGACAGAAATAATTGGCAAGATGGCCACTGGATATTTAAAGACGCCAATTTTAGTGCATAACTTACCCATATCCAATTTCGTCCTTTTTAGGACGAAATTTCTTGTCATTTGAAGCCCTACTCTGGCTTTTGCCATTGGCCGCAATATAGGCAGGCCATATATATATGGCCAAATGTCTGAACGCGGTTTCTGGGACCTCTCCACGGCGATCCTCATCCACATGGTGGCACTTTGTGTCATCGGGTGTTTATCGCTTGTGTGATGTCCTAGTGGGGTAGAAATTCAGTTCAGTTCAGTGCATAACGTGGCGAGAAAATGTCGCCAAGATGGCCGCGGTGAAATAAGCTGCCATGTTGTGAGAAATGGTTGGCTAGATGGCAGGCGGACACTTAGAGACTTGAAATTAGCTGTGAAAATAGATAATAAAAAAGGTAACAAGATGGTGGACACTGAAGAATAGCTGACAATTTAACAACAGAAATTGGCAAGATAGCTAATAGACAGTTAGTGAATGGAGAAGAATAGTGAAAGTAGATAACAAGAAATGTATCGAGCTGATCACCGTGAAGAAACTTGACATGACCAGCGAAGTTCATCTGTTTGCAAGATGCTTCCTGGCCAGTGAGAGATATGCTAGCTGCAGTGCATGATTTGCCAAAGCAAAGCTATCGAGGTGACAAAATATTATCAAGGGAGAGAACCGAGCTGAAAACAGGTGACCAAGGGACAAAACTGGGACCTGCCCGCAACAAGCTTATGTTGAACAATGCTAAAGTTCAAAATAGAACTATACAATGCCAAATATTGTCAATGTAGAAAACTCGACGCCGTTAAGCCCATTCAGTTGATACTAACACCTCAGCATTGTTCTACTTGAGTTATAAACTTACTTTGAATTTATTTTTCCATTTGTTAAAATATAAATTGATAATTCTACCAGTGTTTCTTCCACGGTTGGAGTCTGGCTGCAGACTATCAGTTCCATCTCCTGACTCCTATGATGCTTGTACCTTTTTATTAGTGAGTATTGTGTTTCCCCTAATGTCGCGGAAATAAATGTGTATTCCTCAACTGTCTATATCAGAGTCAGTACCTCAGCTGTCTATATCAGTGTCTGTACCTCAGCTGTCTATATTAGAGTCTGTACCTCAGCTGTCTATATCAGTGTCTGTACCTCAGCTGTCTATATCAGTGTCAGTACCTCAACTGTCTATATCAGTGTCTGTACCTCAGCTGTCTATATTAGAGTCTGTACCTCAGCTGTCTATATCAGTGTCTGTACCTCAGCTGTCTATATCAGTGTCTGTACCTCAGCTATCTATATCAGTGTCTGTACCTCAGCTGTCTATATCAGTGTCTGTACCTTAGCTGTCGATAAAAGTGTCAGTACCTCAGCTGTCTATATCAGAGTCTGTACCTTAGCTGTCTATATCAGTGTCTGTACCTCAGCTGTCTATATCAGTGTCTGTACCTCAGCTGTCTATATCAGAGTCTGTACCTCAGCTGTCTAAATTAGTGTCTGTACCTCAGCTGTCTATATCAGTGTCTGTACCTCAGCTGTCTATATCAGAGTCTGTACCTCAGCTGTCTATATCAGTGTCTGTACCTCAGCTATCTATATCAGTGTCTGTACCTCAGCTATCTATATCAGTGTCAGTACCTCAGCTATCTATATCAGTGTCAGTACCTCAGATGTATATTTTAGTGTCAGTACCTCAGCTATCTATATCAGTGTCAGTACCTCAGATGTATATATTAGTGTCAGTACCTCGGCTGTCTATTCCTTAGATGTATATCCCAGAGTCTTTACCTCAGCTGTCAATACCTCAGATATATACATCAGAGTCTTTACCTCAGCTGTCAATACCTCAGATGTATACATCAAGAGTCTTTACCTCAGCTGCCAATACATCGGTTTCTATACTGCAGGTGTCTATACCTCGGCTGTCTATATCAGTCTATACCTCAGCTGTCTATACTTAGGCTGTCTATACTTAGGCTGTCTATACCTCGGCTGTCTATATCAGAGTCTATACCTCAGCTGTCTATACCTCAGCTGTCTATACCTCAGCTGTCTATACTTAGGCTGTCTATATCAGTCTATACCTCAGCTGTCTATACCTCAGCTGTCTATACTTAGGCTGTCTATATCAGAGTCTATACCTCAGGTGTCTATACTTAGGCTGTCTATATCAGTCTATACCTCAGCTGTCTATACTTAGGCTGTCTATATCAGAGTCTATACCTCAGCTGTCTATACCTCAGCTGTCTATACTTAGGCTGTCTATACGTCAGACGTATATTTCAGAGTCTATACCTTAGCTGTCTATACCTCAGATGTCTATACCTTACGTATGTATGCATATGGGTGCATGTAGGTGTATGTTGTCTGATTATGTGTGTATGTGTGTATGTATGTATGTAGGTATGTAGGTATGTAGGTATATAAGAGGACTACACTGCATATAAACTTGTAATTAATAATACTGTTCACTAACCCTCTTGTTTAACTCTAAAAGTGTCAGATGTGGGACGATCTGTGTCAGTCGACCTGCATGCTCATCTTGCTCTAACTCTAAAAGTGTCAGATGTGAGACGATCTGTGTCAGTCGACCTGCATGCTCATCTTGCTCTAACTCTAAAAGTGTCAGATGTGGGACGATCTGTGTCAGTCGACCTGCATGCTCATCTTGCTCTAACTCTAAAATTGTCAGATGTGAGACGATCTGTGTCAGTCGACCTGCATGCTCATCTTGCTCTAACTCTAAAAGTGTCAGATGTGGGACGATCTGTGTCAGTCGACCTGCATGCTCATCTTGCTCTAACTCTAAAAGTGTCAGATGTGGGACGATCTGTGTCAGTCGACCTGCATGCTCATCTTGCTCTAACTCTAAAAGTGTCAAATGTGGGACGATCTGTGTCAGTCGACCTGCATGCTCATCTTGCTCTAACTCTAAAAGTGTCAGATGTGGGACGATCTGTGTCAGTCGACCTGCATGCTCCTCTTGCTCTAACTCTAAAAGTGTCAGATGTGGGACGATCTGTGTCAGTCGACCTGCATGCTCCTCTTGCTCTAACTCTAAAAGTGTCAGATGTGAGACGATCTGTGTCAGTCGACCTGCATGCTCATCTTGCTCTAACTCTAAAAGTGTCAGATGTGGGACGATCTGTGTCAGTCGACCTGCATGCTTCTCTTGCTCTAACTCTAAAAGTGTCATCAGATGTGAGACGATCTGTGTCAGTCGACCTGCATGCTCCTCTTGCTCTAACTCTAAAAGTGTCAGATGTGGGACGATCTGTGTCAGTCGACCTGCATGCTCATCTTGCTCTAACTCTAAAAGTGTCAGATGTGAGACGATCTGTGTCAGTCGACCTGCATGCTCATCTTGCTCTAACTCTAAAAGTGTCAGATGTGGGACGATCTGTGTCAGTCGACCTGCATGCTCATCTTGCTCTAACTCTAAAAGTGTCAGATATGAGACGATCTGTGTCAGTCGACCTGCATGCTCATCTTGCTCTAACTCTAAAAGTGTCAGATGTGAGACGATCTGTGTCAGTCGACCTGCATGCTCATCTTGCTCTAACTCTAAAAGTGTCAGATGTGAGACGATCTGTGTCAGTCGACCTGCATGCTCATCTTGCTCTAACTCTAAAAGTGTCAGATGTGGGACGATCTGTGTCAGTCGACCTGCAAGCTCATCTTCAACACCTTAAAAAAAATTTAAAATCTGTGTATTAGATCTAAGAGGGGGAGAAGTGAGGGGACGTGTGAGAGGCTTAAGCACCCCAACCCTCCCAACCTAAAATATGTTGGGGTTTGGGGGGTAGGGGTGACTGATACCCCGAGCTGTGGCGGCCCTGATTAGTAGCTTTCTATATCATTTATACTAATCAGTCACAGGTACTGTGGGATCGCAAGTTGTCTCCTGTTTGCCGTGGCCCAGATGATTTTGTCCGGAATTCTAGCTTACCACTTCAAAATGGTAGTCGGAACTATAAGGTATGTATTCTGTTATTGCTTAGTTACAAGTGCATTCTTATTATTATTATTATTCTGAATCAATATGCACACGCCCTCACACACATGCTCTCGCGCCCCATCATTCACAAACACACAAGCCCCATATTATTTAAATAATTATCTGAAACACATGGATACATTCCACAGACAGCCGCTTGAACATCTACACTTCATCTACTTCCCGTTCTACACTCGGATCGGTCCTTTCGCTCTGGGTATCCTGACCGGGTACCTCATGTCCGCTCACAACGGCCGTGTCACCATGAACAAGGTAAACACTGTTTCTGTCTCCCTTGCATGTTCTGTCAATAATTCAAAGCCAATACAATTTGTCTTTCGTTTCGGATAATGTTTTTCTTTTTCTTTCCAGAAGATCTTAGTATGGCCTCTGGTAACGTTCTTCTTGTTCTTCGTATTCACCGACTGTTGACTCCGGAAACGTCTGGTTCTTCGACAATTTCTGGTCTTTGCCCTTGTTCCACACATGAGCTTTGCATGCACATGCGTTTTATAGTGACTTATTTGTTTGCAGACTGTTGGTTCCTCGGCTCACAGGTAAATGCACTCTGCACGTTCCTCTAAAATTTTGCGAGAAGCTTTAACTTTCACAGATTACTTAGGATGGAAGCTCTGGAAAAAAAGTTTTACTGACATTTTTTTTAAGCGGGATTTTTTTTCTTCGGAGTAAATTCTCAATTCCAGAGTCATCTGTGTATTTATCAGATTAAAAAAAATATATCAGATGTACGAAAATGTCTCACACATACTACACTGGTTTTCCAAGAAGTCCAATTTTTCTGCGGATTTTTTTTTCCCCCAGCCAACATTGTCTCAAAAGATAATTCGAAAGAAATTTAAACACACTCGCATTTCCATTTGAAGAATCATAATTCAAGCTACATTCAGATGCATGACATTTGGCAGGCATGGTTGATAACAATTGACCGTCCTTTTTTTTCGGAAATATAAATACAAACCGGCGAAAGGCAATGCAAAACCACAGGTGTATTATTCCTAGTAAATCGTGCTTTAAAATATTACCTTGGACAGCCAAAAAGAGCAGCCAAGAGGTTTTGAAAAAGACGGGAGACCGAAGACAACTTATCACAGACCTCAAAAGGAGACAGTCATCATTTTTCGGCTATGTTATGAGAAGAGGGAAAATAGAACATTGTGTGACCACTAGAAAGATCTGTGGAAGGAGGATAGAGGAAGATTCTTGACAGTCTTGTTGCATGTTTTGGAGGTCTGTCGGCACACGAACTGATACATGCTGCAGGAGATTGCAGATTGTGGAGAGGCATGATCGCCCACGCCAGTCGGCAAGGCACCTGATCATGATTTTGAAATACAAGAGGGAAAAAAATGTATCTACACACGTAAAATTCACAGTCCAACTTTTAGGTCAGTGAAAAAATAATCACTTTGTTCACCTTAGGGCTTAGCCTACAGCCTATAGCTAAGCGGAAGTGCGCCAATGCTTATTCTGGATAGGGCATTGGCTCCACACACGCTCGACTTTAGCTATAAATAGTCCATACAGCTCTGCGGGGATTGCCGTTCTTGTGCAAGTCGGGAATCCGCTCTGTGTTCACAGTTTTTATCGAGGAAATGTATATACAAATTAAACCAGAGTTCCTAAAAATTTGCAACATATTTTATCGAATAACATGTTATTTTGAAGGCAAATAAGTGTGCTGTTAAAATGTAACAATAAAGGCTCTTACCGAAAAAAACAAAAATGCTTTTGCTAGAGCCAACATGAACATAAACACCAATAACGTGTATAAATAAACAGGAAGTTATTGTCCAGCAAAAGTAAAGAAGCAGTAGCGCTAACCCTTTGATTCTAAAGGGGTATTGCATTAGATGACCCGGGGGTGGACGGGGGGCATTTGTACTTTATCAAATTTAGCACATGAAAATACTGCTGTGAAACATACACATGTCATACATAACATGAATATAAATGATTGATAGTTATTATTACTTTAGTAGTCTACTACAACATTAAATTATACTGTTAGTTAATATTTAGTAAACAAGCAGCTGACTTGCTTAAAAAGTTTAGTAAACTACAAACAGTTTTTTTTTTAATGCACAGTCAATATGACATTTTTAATAATTTTTCACCCAGAGCAGCTTTCTTAACAGTACTATAGCACTACTAAATATTTTTCCTCAAGGCACAAACAGAACAAACAAATGTCCAGTTTCATCTTGTTGGATAAAATCAGTTCACTATCATTGTGAATTTTTTTTTTTTTTTTGGTAACTGTTTAAATACATAATTCATATTTCTGAATACTGCATGCGACAACGCGTATAAGTATCATGAAAAATAAAAAAATAAAAAGTCGGGCGTGGCTCCACTTACCGATTCACCCGTCGGCGGATCGATAAACAACTCAGTCGCCAATGGGTGTTTGATTATCTGTTCCGTTCCGTTAAATGTAAAAAAAAGTTAAACAAATCTGACGCTTCAGCGTGCCACTGGGGCTTTGCTTTATTTGCGTCCTCCTTTCTGGGCGGGTTTGTTTTAAGGCGTGTTCGTGCGCCTTTTGTTTGTCACTTGTCCTCCTTGCCATTATCGGTGTTGGAGCTGATTCTTTAGCTGGTTGTCAGTCACAAAGTCACTGATTCCACCAGGGCAGTCGCCAAGAGCAACCTTTCGAAACAAATAAGCCAGCACTGAGCCACCAACCACAAGGTCCTTTTCAGGGCCCCACTTAACTTCTTTTTTTGTGCTTTAATTTTTCACCTTTTACATGTTTAAGGGTGTGAGCTTTTTTTTTTTTTTTTTTTGGCCTCTTTTTTTCGGTATTTTTTTTTCCTTGCCTTTTTTTCCCAATTTTTTATCGTTTTCTTCTGGCCACACATGGTATAGTGATAGTTGGAATAAAACACAGGGTTTGTAAAAAAAAAAAAAAAATAGAGGGCAGGAATGCTCCGTAGGAATATATAGTAAGGTCGAAGGATTAAGAGAGATAGATAGCTTGCTAGGTAAGGGGAGAGAGAAGTGGGATCCCATGGTTGGGTTCCCCTGGCTGACATCATTTGGTGGGTCCTCGCCTGCCGATCGGCTGATGAATTGCTTCACCATCATGTGCATCTCAGGGCTGCTACTTGTTTTGAGACAAGCACTGACGGTCATGGGTTTGCCATACGTTTCAAAGTGGTTCCTCAGTTCTGTTCGGTGTGCTTTGTATTTGCTGCACGATATCAGAAAATGTTCCACAGTGTTGAGTTTCCAGCATTCCGTGCACATCGGGCTTCTGGATCTCTCTTTCCAGGTCCCAAATCGCAGTCTCCACAGTGTGTTGATGGTTGGTAATTTTGTGGGTTCCTTGACTTGGGATCTGTAGCTGGGTTCTTTGAGTAGCCGATGCGCATGTCGCCCTTTTGTGCATCGGGCCCACTGTTGTATCCATACTGCACCGACGTACTCTTTAATGCGGGCCTTGCCCTCATTTTTGCCCAGTCCGATATCTAGGAAGTTATTGCTGACGGTCCCTCTCTTTGCCGCCTGGTCCGCCCATTCGTTACCCGGGATACCTCTGTGGGCGGGTATCCAGGCTAGAGTGACGGGGCAGCCCATTCGGCCGAGTTCGGTGGTGATAGTCAGGATCCTTTCCTTGATGTCGGATCGGGAGCATTTCCCTAGTCCCTCCAGGGCCATTACCGAGGACAGTGAGTCTGAGAAAATGATTAGTTTGGTCGGTGGGTCACCCGCCACTGCTTCTAGGGCTTTAAGTATTCCCATAAGCTCGGCGGTGCAGACCGCTGCGTGGGCAGGAAGTTTGAAGTGACGTTCCAGGGCCCGGTCGGGTATGACTATCCCGGCACCAACCTCTCCGTTTTGATTTTTAGATACGTCGGTGTAGACTGCTAGGGAGCCAGCGGCTAGTGTGTTGATGTACTCGCCTGCTAGGCTCCTAGCTTCGTCGGGGTCGGATCTTCTGGAGATTTTTCTGGCGAGGCCGGTGTCGGTTGTCGGCAGCCGTAATTCCCACGGGGGGGGGGGGGGGATGGTACGTGTGAATTTTCTGTGGCAGAAAATTACCTCAGCTATTTCTGTTCTCTGTGTTTCCCTGGCGGTAATCCAGGCTGTCGGCCGTCCAAATTTTGATATCTGTTTAGTCCTATCTTCCCACAGGTATTGATTGGTCTGGAAGGCTTTGGTGGCTGGGTGATGGGGGCGGAGACCCGTGCTCATCCAGTAACCGTATACTAGCTGTTTCCTTCTAAGCTTCAAAGGGATGACACCTAGGGCGACTTCCATAGCTTCCCTGCTGGTTAATCTGTTGACGCCTAGGATGATTGAAAGTGCCTGGCACTGGATAATGTCTAGTTTCTTCAGATTGGTGTTGTCTTCAGCACCGTAGACTATGGAGCCGTAGTCTAGGTTCCCACTTATGAACGCTTTGTAGAACAGTAGCATCGTTTTAGTGTGGGCTCCCCACCCGGATCCTTTAATGATTCTGAGCATGTTGATGTATTGTTTGCATCGATCGGTTGTGGCCTCCACATGCTTTTTCCAGTTCAACTGCTGGTCGAGAATCATACCGAGATACCGGGTGTGGGATCTTCTAACAATCGGGCGGTTGTGGATGGTCAGCGGGCAGTCGTGTTCACTAGATAGTTTGGAGGGTTTATTGTTGAAGACCATTAGTGTCGACTTGTTCACGTTGATATTGAAACCCCATTTGACCATCCTTTTGCCACGTTGTTAAGTTCTTTTTGTAGTTTCTTGCTGGCAGCGCTTGCTTTGCGCCCGCTGCACCACAGAGCACAGTCGTCAGCAAACTGTGACAGCTCTACCTCAGGGCTGGTAAACTCCTGTAGCAGATCGTTTACCATGATGTTGAATATCATCGGGGAGATAACCGAGCCCTGAGGGTGCCTTTCTCCTGTATGTGCGTTCTGGAAACACTGTTCCTCACCGCAACTGTGAATGTTCTATCCTGGAGGAAGTTTCGCACGTATTGGAGGATTCGGCCAGCCACGCCTACTTTGTGGAGTTTGGCTATGGCCGCCTCTCTCCAGCACTGGTCATAGGCGTGGGCTAGATCCAGAAAGACTGCGACGGTTATCTTTCGGGCCCTGAACCCTCTTTTAACGTGGTATTCCAACCTGATAATTTGGTCTATCGTCGACCGTTCTGCCCTGAATCCGGACTGGGAGGCGCTATAGAGGTTCTTGCTTTCCATATGGAACTTGATTCGGTTATTCACTACGGTCTCCATTATCTTTCCTAGGTGGGAGGTGAGTGATATGGGGCGGTAGGAGTCGACACGCATGGTATCCTTGTTGGGTTTCAGGATGGGTATGACGGTGCTCGTTTCCACTGTTTGGGTATAACACCACCCCGCCACACCAGGTTGAAGAGTTCTGTGAGGGCCGCTGGTGATTTTGCCGGCTGCATCTTCATGATCGCGTAGTTCAGGATGTCCGAGCCCGCGGCTGTATTAGATTTCTCTTTGAGGGCAGAGACGACTTCGTACATCGTGAACTCCTGATCCATATAGTGTGGCACATTATCGATGTCCCGGTTCAGGTTCTCATCCTCGCACAGTTGCCGCCTTCTATCTCTTTCCTGCTGGCCTAGACTGTCGTTGGAACTAGTTTCGTAGAAATAGTTTCCGAGTCTGTCCGCTTTTTCTTGGTCAGAGATAGCATAGACGGGGAACTTCAGAGTCGGTATCGGTTTAATTTGTCTTGCGCCCTGGATGGCTTTGATTCGGCTCCACGCTTCTTTGGACGGGGTGCTAGCCGTGAGGCCCTGGCAGAATGATCTCCAGCTGACTTCTTTCGATTTTCGGACTGCTCTGTTAGCTTTATTTCGTTCTATTTTATATAGATCGAAGTTAACATTTGTCCTCAGGCGCCTGTATTTTTGTAGGGCCTTTTTTCTCGCCGCGTGAGTCTCTGTGCAGGAGTCATTCCACCAGGCCGCTGGAGGCTTGCGACTTTCTTTTGATGTGCCCGGGCCTTTTTTGGTCACGCCCACGATCCTTTCCGGCATGCATTTGTTTGGGATGTGCCTGGCGGCTATGCAGAGGATCGTGTCGGTGAATCTTTTGGCATACTGGTCGACATCTTCGCTCGGTTGTTTTTCTAATAATGTCGCCTCTGCCTCGCGATGAAAACTGTCCCACCTGGCTTTTTCAAAAATAAATTTGGGGCGGTTGCTTTCGTCACATGTTGTCGAGACGGTGTGCGTATTTTTTAGCACGGGAAGGTGATCGGTGCTGGAGTCTGCTGCTACTGTCCAGGTGCACCCTGTCAGTTCGGCTGTCACCAGGGATAATTCGACTGCGGAGTCTCTCTGTCTTAGGCATGGGTTAATTCGGGTCATCGAACCATCATTAAGCACAGTGAGCTGGTATTTGTAGTGTGTTCTCTATTTCTGGTGTGTTTGATTACGGGTTTTGCCATCGTTATTTACAGGGTGTTGTTGGGTGGTTCGCAGTCGGCTGGCGGGAGGGTAACGGAGTGGTCGGAGTCGTCTTGCTCATGTTCTGCTTCCGATTCCTCCCGGCCGTCGCTTTTGCTCTCGTCAGTTTCCCCTGACTCCGCACTGTGGTAATCCTTGTTGATTGCCTACTCTGCCAGTGTTTTGGCGAGTTTGCGCATTTGTGCCTCGACCTCTTGTTGTTGCAGCTTCCACCATTTGGTCTCTTGCACATTGGCCGGTTGTTTCTTTTTGATTGTTTTTAGTTCCGTTCTGGTCATAGTATGAGCCCCGTACAGTGCTTCAAGTTTCTCAGAGTGGTACTGGGCATTTTTGGAGATTTGGTCTAGCTGGCGCTGGAGGAGGGCTATTCGCTCTTCTGCTAGTTTCTCCGCTTTGATGCGTTCCGATTTTTCAGTCTCGTAAGTGGTTTTTAGCGCTTTGTATTTGCTCGCAATGTCTGTCACATTGTCTTGTGCTTCGTCCGAGCTGGGGTTTCTAGCGGGCGGGTCACTTTTGTTGGCTGGCTTGTCTACACTCTTACTAGTTGATGAGGAGGCCAGGCCGGCTAACAGGATCCTGAGGTCTGACTGTGTCTCGGTCAGGTCCTTGGTTTTAGCTATATTTTTCCTGGCGACCTGTAGCGGTACGTTTGTTAGGGTTGCCTCCCTTATGACCAGTTGGGCTTCTTTCCATTTCGGGCACCCTTTGTAACGTGCGCTGTGGTTGCCGCTGCAGTTAGCGCACTTCTTCTGTGGGTTTGCTGTTGGGTGGTTTGCAGCTGCCTTTGCTCTGGTGCATTGGCGGACCCAGTGGTTCTCACTGCAAAAACTGCAGCGGGCCCCATTTCGGCATTGGTCCTGTTCGTGGCCGAACCATAAACATTTTTGGCATTGGTTTACGGTTGGAACGAACCTCTTTATGTATTTCTCCTTTCCCTGGAGAACTATTTTTGTGGGGTTGTTTGTCCATTTGATTGATAGTTTTACCAGGGACATGGGCTCTCCCGACGCCCTAGTCATTCTTTTGACTTCTAGGAACGTAAGGGTCGGGTTCTCCCTCTTGATGTTGTCGCTTATTTTGGTGATGTCTTTTTTAGGATGGACGCCTTTCATCACTAGGTCCACCTTCTCCGGGATTTCCTCTAGATGGACCTGGATGTCGTGATTCAGAGTTAGCTTGTGTGGTTCGCTAGTTTCTGTTAGTATTTTAACCAACTCTTTGTTGTGGGTTGAGTGGTTCATTATTACCACGAGCTCTTTGTGTTGCCTGCTCACCCTGGCGATCGTTTTTCGGCCTTTTTTTCCTTCAAGCGAGGCCTGCTGCTCTTTTGGGTTCAAACTGAAAAGTGATACCTCCTTGAAGCTTAGCCGCGTCACCTTCACTCTAATTGTTCTCGGTTGAAGGATTTCTTTTTCACCTTTTTCAGCTAAGCTGGTTGTGGTGTAGTCGCGGTTCCCATCCTATTGTGGTGTTTGGCCTAGGTCCTGCTGGCCACCTTGTGTGGTTCGACTGATTCAGCTGCACTGGGGAGTGCAACTGGCTCTTGTGCGCCTGCCGGGATGGGGCCGGCTGGCTGCCTGGGTGGGGGCGTGGGTGCCCTCCCGGCTGCTTTGTCGGCGTATGTCGGCGCCGAGTCTGATGCCGTGGATACTTTTTGGCTCTCGCCAATTGGGTTGGTCACCTCAGTTTTGACTTTGCGGACAGGAGCTTTATTTTGATGGGTTGTTGTCGCCTGACGTCGGTTCTTGAGATCTGGCTCTCGTTACTGCCATTTTACTCCAGTTTAAGGTTTAGGTTGGCTAAGCCCTAGTCAAGGATTTGAAGTGGTTTAATGGTAGATTATACTCACAAATCCTGATCCGGGCTCTGCTGACTTCTTGGTAGGTGTGTCGTCTCAATCGGTCTGAGCTTTCGCAAAAGCTTGTCCTCTGCTGCGCAACAAGCCTGGTTAGGAGAACCACTTTAAAAGTAGAACTCCCAGGGTGTTCACAGCAGTACACAAGGCTAGTGCTGGGACAGCTGACTTTTAGTCAGCGTATCAACTCAAGATTTGGGACCACTACAGCTTTCAGACCTAGTAGATCAAGCCGAACAAAGCAGCGATCAGTAATAGTGTCTGAGGAAACCTGTGGCCCTCCTCTCAAGCCGCTGAACTAAATAGGAGGCACCGTATCTACTAGCAGGTAGATTAGAGTGAGGCTACTAACTCTCACTTCGTGTCTGGTAGCTGGTAGTTTCAAGTGAGGCTACTAACTCTCACTTCGTGTCTGGTAGCTGGTAGTTTCAAGTGAGGCTACTAACTCTCACTTCGTGTCTGGTAGCTGGTAGTTTCAAGTGAGGCTATAACCTCTCACTGTTTTCCTACTGAGACGACTGACTTGCGCGACGAATTGATTTTTAGTCAGCTTATCGACTTGCGACTTGAAACACTACAGCTTTCAGACCTAGTAGATCAAGCCGAACAAAGCAGTGATCAAAACCAATCTCTGAGGTAGCCTGTGTTTCTCCTCTCAAGCGACCGCTGAGCTAAAATCGAGGCAACTAACCCACTCGATTATTAGGCACTCACGAGGCAACTGACCCTCTCGCTCTGTGTCTGCGCTGCGAATGTGATGATGATATGATGTGTTTGATTATTCAAGTCCAAGTCCTTTTGAGAAAAAAAAAAAAAAAAGCTCGACCACGTTCAGACTGCTGCTAGCTAGCCTAGGCTACTAGCAGTCTCCGCCTATATTTGTGGTCTGGGTTATTTGCGTCACTTTCGTGACCGAATTTTAGTGTTTGTACCATTTCTGGCTTGATGCTTCCATCCGAAGTTGAACTGAACTGAATTTCTACCCCACCAGGACATCACACAAGCGATAAACACCCGATGACACAAAGTGCCACCATGTGGATGAGGATCGCCGTGGAGAGGTCCCAGAAACCGCGTTCAGACATTTGGCCATATATATGGCCTGCCTATATTGCGGCCCCTGGCAAAAGCCAGAGTAGGGCTTCAAATGAGAAAAAATTTCGTCCTGAAAAGAACGAAATTGAGTATACAATCCGAAGTTTGATTATTTTTTGTTTTTTACATTTATTTTCTCAGTGCGTTGTTGTGATTGGTTGGATCCTTGCTGCTGTAGTCGGATTGGCTGTAGTGTTTGGTGTCCATGGTGATTTCAGCGGAGAAAATCCCAGCATTTTATTGGTGGCTTCTATATATAACGGAATATACCGGACCGTCTGGGGCGCCTGTATTTGTTGGATCATTGTCGCCTGCACGTCTGGATATGGAGGTAGGCCCAGTGAGAGATATTGTTATTATCTTTGAGGTGTTTACAACGAGCAATGATGTGCAGGCCAAGTGGGGATTGAAATAGAGGTCGACTGTGCAAACGATAGGCACAAAGAATAACACCGTCCATTGTAATGTATTTATACAAAGTCAGACAAATAGCAATTTCCTTCAGTTTATTCTTTCCCTCGATACGAGGTACAGGAGGATCCAGCTGAGAATATCCGTTTAACTTTTTGTCGACTTCTGTGGTTTAGGCGTTTTGTGAACGTGCTTCATAATTCCAAAATATCTGTTTCGAATAGAGCTGCATACGATTTGGCAGCAGTCTGCATTGTTTTTATTTCACCCAGGTTATCTAGAGCCAGTCGTTGAGTAGCAAGGGCAAACCACAGAACAATTTTAAAATGCTTTTGTTGGTTCAGCAACATCCTGTAAAGGATTTGCAACTAACTTTGTTGTTTTTAAAGGTTTTTATTAGGTTCACTGTTGTATGTTTGTGTGCTTGTTTATCTGGGCAAAGCTTTGCGTTAGCTTTTACATTATGTCTGGACAAGCCACAGAGCTGAAATTTTGCACGCATACGCTTTTGTGGATACAAATATCATGTGGTGCAAAACGAGTTTCAACCCTTAGAATATTTTCGTTATATTGATAATTTTGGATGTTAAAATTGTATGGCTCACAGAGTCAAACCTTTAAGAGCCTAATAACAATATACGAAACAAAAGTCGATTTAAAACAAGATTAGAATGGCTTTAACCTAGTGTTTCCTAGGCCTAAGAGAAACAAAGGATTGTTAACACTACATGCCTTTTAAGCATGAAGGGGTCAGTTTATTTTGAGATTTACCGCAACATAGTTTTAAATAACTATCACACAGAAACAGTAAATTATAAATACTCGCCGATACCTAACGTCTTGTTCTCCAGGACCAATTCACGCCTTCCTGTCCTGGTCACCATTTGTAGTTCTAGGCCGCTTGACCTACACTGGCTACCTAATCCACATGTCCGTGCTGACAGTCATATTTGAGAACCTGGAGCAGCCGCTTTATTTAAACATGTTTGCTGTGGTATGTTATCCCAGACTTTTTTCTGTCCAGTTTTCCTTTTAGATAATGTTAGTTTTCTCACTGAGGAATAATATACTGCAGTCACACAGACAATACAAGGGTAAACGTAAAAAATGCGACTCAAATAGCACCAGATAACGATATACTTCTAAACACCACTACAGACAGCAAGCACTACACATAGGTTAGATAGCTAGGCCAATAGAAAGTTAAACAAGATGAATGTCGTTGTTCATATAGATATACAGTGGTACCTTGGTAGTATTCGACATTAACTCGTTCCGGATCACTAGACGTGACTAAACACTACTGAACCAAATACTGGACGTGTACCAAACAATACTGAACTAACACTGGACGTATACCAAACAGTACTGTACCGAACACTAGACGTGTACCAAACAATACTGAACTAAACACTGGACGTGTACCAAACAATACTGAACTGAACACTGGCCGTGTACCAAACACTGGACGTGTACCAAACAGTACTGAACTAAACACTGGACGTGTACCAAACAATACTGAACTGAACACTGGCCGTGTACCAAACACTGGACGTGTACCAAACAGTACTGAACTAAACACTGGACGTGTATCAAACAATACTGAACTAAACACTGGACGTGTACCAGACAGTACTGTACAGAACACTGGACGTGTACCAAACAATACTGAACTAAACACTGGACGTGTAATAAACAATACTGAACTAAACACTGGACGTGTACCAAACAATACTGAACTAAACACTGGACGTGTACCAAACAATACTGAACTAAACACTGGACGTGTACCAAACAATACTAAACTAAACACTGGACGTGTACCAAACAATACTGAACTAAACACTGGACGTGTACCAAACAATACTGAACTAAACACTGGACGTGTACCAAACAACACTGAACTAAACACTGGACGTGTACCAAACAACACTGAACTAAACACTGGACGTGTACCAAACAATACTGAACTAAACACTGGACGTGTACCAAACAATACTGAACTAAACACTGGACGTGTACCAAACAATACTGAACTAAACACTGGACGTGTACCAAACAGTACTGTGCCGAACGAATATCCCCATAAGAAATAAAGGTACAATAATTAATCGGCACCCATTCAGAAAAAAATCCTATTGTTATCTTCATGTTATACATTGATGGGGTTTTATAAAATAACTCGCATACTGCCTAATGCTATAAACTACACAAAAGCATCAACTAGATGAAGTAAATAAAAATGTAACCTCACTTCAACTTCCTGAGAAGAGAAGAGTGCCAACTAGGACGGTACTGAGGACGGAGGAGGAGATGTTATTGTTTGGACGGAGATTTACCTTCCAATAAAAAAATCAGGAATCTGAAAATCTTGTTTTCGCTTCATTGACCTAGGCTCATCAGGTTACTAAACATCTATATAAAAGTCCTTGCTTCTGCTCCTCCGCAGGGTATTTCGGAAATGTGACAGTCTCTGGTCATTCCGGGCAATGCTGTTAAAGCTTGGTGCGGCTAAATTGGGGTGAGGTAAACAACTATTCGAGACTAATTTTGATTTATTCAAGTTTTACCCTGCAATCGTATTCCAAACAAAAGTCGTATACCGAGCAAAAAGTGGTTGCGTCTAAACAAGCTGAACTTATACCAGAGCGAACGTATATCGAGGTACAATTATATAAAATTATACATGGGTGAATGCATCATTAATGGTAGATCTTATCTGTTGATTGATTGAATGGCTGGAATGATATGCACCCATCTAGGTGGTAAGTAGACAGGTAATTATGGGGGCAGCGAGGTAGCTAGTTAGTGGAGCCGTTCTAGACGCTTGCCTGTCGGTCTCATGGTCTTGGGTTTGAATCCGCATTGAGCAGGATTTTCTTTCTCTGACCTTGGATCGCCGAAAGTAGATACCACATGCTGTTCTGAAAAGTAAATGGCGGGCCCTGTGTAACTTTGGCTATATTTTCAATGCCGACTGGTCCGTAGAAACATGAAAATGGCCATGGCCATTGAGTTAACCGTATGTGTCGATTCCTCCCCACCAAATATATAGTTGACACATTCCTTCCGTTTATGGGGACAGCTTTTTATTGAGTTTGCTCTCTAGACAGTTGCAGTCCCCTGCTGACGAGATTCTATCTTCCCGAGTGGAACGCCGTGATCAAAACATTGCGAAGGCAGCGTGGTCGATGCTGCCAAAACTATCAGTCATTATCCCGCCCCGACACAGCACAACCACAATACACGCCGCTCCCACGAAAATCACATTGTATCCTGCAAAATAGCAGTCCATGATTATGAAACAAAATGATCCGAAAGAATTGACAGCCAGCGAAAATAAACACAGCTGCTATCCGCCATTTTGAAAACGGAACGGCGCGATTCGAAACATGAAAATGAAAAGGTATCACTGACTTAGAAAGAATCCTTTTACACACAGCGTATAGCAGTAGTTGAGTATGTGCAAATCAGGTCGCAGGAGGCCAGGAGCAGAAGCCCTACAGCTGCTTGCAATGAACTGATGGGTCGTCGCATATATATATATATATATATAATATATATATATATATATATATATATATATGTGTGTGTGTGTGTGTGTGTGTGTGTGTGTGGTAGCTTTAAGCTACTTGCAACGTTAGCTTAAAATATACCGTATGCCATTTGTATTCTATTTGTCACCGCAGGTTGTTTACGGAACGGTCGGCGTTATCTTCACTAGCCCCCTGGCCGCCATTTTGGTCATGTGTGTGGAGATGCCGACGTTAAGTCTAGAGAAAGTTCGAAATAACGGAAGAAAGCCGTAAATATCGTTGCCAGCTAATTGTTTATAGACGAAGACATTCAGAAAATTATCGACTGCTATACACATTTATCAGTTCTTTTCTCTTTAGCGACCACAACAAGTGAGATTTAAAGAAATCACATATTGTAAGGTGGTTAGGGTTAGTAGCAGTTGCCATTGATTTAACACTAACCCTAACCACATATAATATGGGATGACCCTAAATCTCGCAGGATGAGGTCGCACAACAGAAAAGAACACATTTATCATTTTTATAAGACGAGTTTCTGTCCCTTATATATTTAGAACTTTGAATTTGTCTTACTTTACTTTAAGTTTTTCTTTTTGTTACTTAAGTTCGTTGCGTATCGTTCGGAGCGTGTTTTGTCCATGTTCTGGAGATTCCCGATATGGGTGCATTTAGGAACAAGTTTTAGACTTGACAGTGAGACGTTCATTAATTCATCTTCGTCGATAAAAAGACTGATCGCACTGTAAGATCATACCTGGAGTGATGTATTACAGGGTACTTAGTGTTAGTGCTTACGATAGGACATGTAATCTGTGCCAGACATATTGTGGTTGTTAACTTGTTGCTGTGCCAGACATATTGTGGTTGTTAACTCGTTGCTGTGCTAGACATATTGTGGTTGTTAACTTGTTGCTGTGCCAGGCATATTGTGGTTGTTAACTGGTTGCTGTGCTAGACATATTGTGGTTGTTAACTGGTTGCTGTGCCAGACATATTGTGGTTGTTAACTTGTTGCTGTGCCAGGCATATTGTGGTTGTTAACTGGTTGCTGTGCTAGACTTATTATGGTACCCTGTTGGAGTATTGGCCATCTTTTACTCCAGCAATTGTAACTGTCAGTATGTGATGTAACCAGTGAGAGTGGGCGGCCGTTGTTTGTGGTCTGAGGGAACCAAGATTTACAGTATCTATCTTGGAATCAGTCGGCTCTGTGGCTAAGTCGATGCGACCGCTTCGTAATGCCAGGATGCCAGGTTCGATCCCAGCTGCGGACCATGCGCCTTGCGTTGGTTTCGACAGTGGTATCAAGAAAGCCAACCGTCCAGAAAGCAATGGCAAACTACTGGGCGTAAATTTGCCTAGAAAAAACAAGCAACAGCCAGGGGCTGTTGGGGTTGGTTCTGCAATGACCTGTAAAGGATACGCAACTAACCTCATCTTGGAATCAAGGCCGAAGGGTTGCGATATCCATAGTACCGAGCCAAAGGGTTTACAAGCCATGGTTTCTGGATATGTGAAAAAAAAAAAAATACTAACAATACCCTACATACTTGGCATTCATGCGATGAGTCTCTCGAAGGCATACATCAGACAATTTGTGGTGAGTACCAGCAGCCTTTTTGACGTGTGGGTTTTCTGCCAGTAGATATCACTTTTGTAGGATCATTTCATTTTTCAAAATAGACCAGTGGGTGGTCACTTTAGCCATCTTTACTTCCCATAACATATCCTTCTATCTGCAAATTGGGTTGCGTCAACCTCGTTAGTTTAAAAAAAAAACTCACCTGTTTGCCTCGAAAAGGTTATAAATGCATAGCAGGCCGATATATGAGCTTCCAGTGATCTCATGCGATGACAGAAACTAATCCAATGAGAAGCCGTACTGATGGGGCGACTTTCAAGTCAAAGACTTACTGCTGGGTCTATTCAGAGGTGCAGACAAAGAGGAATCATTGGCAGGGGAAAGGGTCATTAGCCTCTTATTATTGTCTAGGTACGGGAGTCACTACCTGTGACATCTGAAGCAATGCTTGCCACTCTGCAGGAAGTATGCTTGTCTTCACCTTTCTCAGCAAGCTTTGTGAGTCCCTACCATTGTATGTACAAATGCTCTACAAGCAAACATAAAATTCTACTACAGCTATTTACAAACTGTCAACAAGGACACAAAGAAAGTTATAACAAATATGCTTAGTTAGAGAGTACAGTACAGTTTGGCAGATGTGAAGACAATGTTTTTTATTATCATTAGTTTTTTTATTTTTTCATACAATAAATTAATGTTAAATAAAGCAAACTACAAAATCAAACTGCCAAATTGTGAAGTAGGGCATTCCCGGTTACCCAAGTGTACGACTGAACGGTGCTTTGGCTGCACAAGTGTACTAGTCAATGTCCATGTTGCACAAGTGTACTGGTCAATGTCCTGGCTGCACAAGTGTACAGGTCAATGTCCTGGCTGCACAAGTGTACTGGTCAATGTCCTGGCTGCACAACTGTACTGGTCAATGTCCTGGCTGCACAAGTGTACTGGTCAATGTCCTGAGGCACATAGGTGTACCACGGCAGAACAAGAACAAGGTGTAAAAGCAACATCAGAGAAGCTCAACAATGGTCAATGGTTGGGGCAGCCAGAACAGCAAGAAGCACTACCTTATATTTCTCTCCACACCTGAAGCGGTCAAAGAGGAAGCGAAGAGAAAACAAAAAGAAGATAACAACTACCCAGTACCAATTTTCTGAAGATGGGTTGACCTCACAACCGGTAGCCAAGTGTACTAACTAACCACTTTGCCACTGCTGTTCTCTACAGACGTGTCCTTATATCACACAAATATTAGACTATGAGGGTGAAATAAAAACAATGCACAAAACTAAGACAGTAAAGTGCTAAATATGAGTAAATGGATGAATTATTAATAAAAATAAAAAAGTCTATATCAAAGACAGATATTTTAAAAAAATTCAATAAAGGGATGACCGAACAAAAAAAACCACAAAAAAATCTTGAATTTGAAATATCTGAATACTCCAGAGTAACAGTGAATTGAGTTAAGATACTTCAATACCTTAGAGTGGTAGTTATTGAGTAGGATATGTCAATTCTTTGGGGTCCTAGTGAATAAGTTGATACCTCAATACCCTGGGGTCGATAAAAACTTGAGTTCAAGAATCATTTTTTTAAAACCGTTAGGCACCTCTAAGTTAAAATAACAAAGAATTAACCTTGAAGCCAGGATAACATTAAAACATTCCTTAAACAAAAAGCCTTTAACGCTACAATAATTTTAAATAGGTCAATAATAAAAGTAAAAAAATAATTTCTGAATTTGTTTGGAGCCCCCTCCCCCTCCCCTCCCAATATATAAAGATGTATAATTGGAGTTATTTATAAACATGAATAGCATGAAACATTAAATAGAAAATATTCTGTAGGGCCTAAAAAGACTATGCATCATGTGACCCAAGCTGTCACCCCATGATCTCTATCAATAAGGCTTACTGGAGAATTTGACATCAACTTGGCTTTATATAAAACTATTGGATTTATAGGAAAAAAACCTAATGTTAGTTTAGCTACTATATTAATTAGGTGCAAACTCAGCCAGTAGCATTAACTCAGTCTCGTAAACACGTCTCTCTAGACAAGTCAGGAAAGTGACATTTACATGAAAACTGGATCTAACTGAAAGTGTTGGTTTTTGTGGCTTTCTGGGGCGACAGGGTTGATGAATAAATGAGAAAACATGCTTCAACTCTTTCAGTACGTGACAACTCCCTACTTGTTTACTTATTACGCTATACGTCAAATGTGTTTCTTTGTTTATTTTGTTTCATTCTTCTATTCAATCAGTCAGGTGCCCTCTCCTCAATAAAAGTCGACTGAAACAAATCTTCTACATACGCTGTCCTTTGCCCTGGATGTACCCTCTCTGAGACTGTTGTCTGTCCACCTTTTGGTGTTATCTTTCCAACTATATCGCTGTCTGCCTCTTGTTCACTTATCTTCCACTTTTAACTGTATTGTGATATTTTCCTCTTTTACATTGAGCCATGATTTTCCAGTTGTCACTAGAACTAGTACTGTCCCATAACTGTACAGCTGTAACTCATTAACACTCACAGATTTGAACTCAAATCAGCACAGACTTCTGGATTCAGAGTGCTTGACGAGACTTCTATTTTCAAGATTAAAACAGAAACCAACTCAATGAATAGATTAAACACAATGTAATAATTATGGAGTCAAAATAGTGACAATTTTTGAAAGGGTACTTTGACATGGCAGGCTAGAAGTAAGGAGTGGGAAGAAGTGACTGATCATTTTAAATATAAAAGGAGCCTTTTCCAGGCCTTCAAGCACATTGGGCATACAGTGCTAGACTGGCACTCGGTCGGTGCTTTGGTAAACACCATGCTGACTACCTTTACTTCGCAGGACTGTACGTGGTACCCATTTAAGGTTGGGTCGACTTGGGAGCCAAGATCATTCCGATTTGAACCTATGACCTTAAGATCCTCAGGCAAGTGACTAGCCACTACAAACCGTGGTGCCCTTTTCAATATAAACAGATTGTATACACATTAACAGACTCCATTATTTGAAATTTAACTGGCCATATAATTTTCGAAATAAACAAACTGCACTATTGGAAATATAAATAGACTATATAATATTCAACATAAACAGGCAGCACTATTGTAAATATAAACAGACTATAATCTGTAGTACATACACTTAGTGTGACAACATTATTCAGTGACCAGCTTGCAGAAGCACAACTATGAAAGTCACACCCTCAAGGTATTTTTTAAATAAACTGAATACAACAAGAGGTTTCAAAATTTATGAATCTAAACAGAAAACTTTACCATGAGAGTCATGGGGCATATCACAACCAGAACAGCCAGCAACAAATGCAAGGGTACATTAATTTTACACAACCTCAAAAAAGGGAAATCCAAGAAACCCCAGTCCAGTCCACGATTTGGGGAAGGGGGGGGGGGGGGGGGGAGTTTGTGCTGTGTTCTTGTCCACATATACGAAGTCATCCTTCTCAGTACATATTTTTAATGTCATCATTCTCCCTTTGTGTTTTGTGATCTGTTTTTGGAAGGGAGCTTACTACTGCTGGGTGCCTTGTGACTTGGCCTACATGAATCTTCTTAACCTGTCAGTGTCAGTGCTTGACAAGCAGAGCAGAGCAGCAGCGTTGCTTCTTTTCTGCAAGCAGCATAGCATTTAGAACTCATTCATCCAGATACTGCTGGCTGCAAAAATCATCTCATGGTGCTGTCACTGGCTGACTGGCAGTCAGTCATCAGCATGTTGGACAAGCTAGCACACAAGGGTGAGGCAAAGCAAGTGGCTGCAAGAACATCTCATGGTGCCGTCACTGGCAGTCAGTCATCAGAATGTTGGACAAGCTAGCACACAAGGGTGAGGCAAAGCAAGTGGCTGCAAGAACATCTCATGGTGCCGTCACTGGCAGTCAGTCATCAGAATGTTGGAGTTGCTAACACACAAAGGTGAGGCAAGGCACCTGGCTCCAAGAATAATCTCATGGTGCTGTCACTGGCAGTCAGTCGGTTAAAATGGACGCTAGGCAGCGGCACTGTTCGAAGCAGAGGCAAATTTTTGCTTCTGCCGGACGGTGGCTGATGCATTTTTGCTCCATTTGTAGACTGGATATAGTTTCATCGCCCAGCTTCTGAGTTGAATGCATGGCCAGACACTGTGAGCTGCAGATTGAATTTGGAATTTTTTTTTTCAACTGTGAACAACGTGGTGGTGTGAATTGTAGATTGAAAAATTTGGCGCGATGTCTGTCGTGCAGTGTTGGCGGTGCCCGCATGTGATTAAAATTGATCGCGTGGGCAACTGCTATTCTGTTGGCCACAGGTTCTGCTATCATCAATGATGAACTGCATTTCTAATGTTGGACTGTTTGTGTTAGCACTTCGGATGGCTACCGTATGCTTTTAATGCTAGATATGCTGAGACAGTAGTCTGTCAATCTTTCCACAAGGTACTGTGATAGACATTCTGTGTGTTTTTCGTTGGCACAGGAGCGGAGCAAAGATGGGGTGACCCGTTTGCTATGAAGCTGTAACTAAGACTACCAGACCAGACTACCAGTCAGTCGTCAGCATGTTGGAGAGGCTAGCACACAAGGGTGAGGCAAGGTGCCTGGCTCCAAGAATCATCTCATGGTGCTGTCACTGGCTGACTGACAGTCATCAGCATGTTGGAGATGCTAGCACACCAGCTGTGGAGAGGACACAGGTGAGGCAAGGCATGCGGCTGCAAAGCTCACACTTATCTGCCTTCCAGATAGCAAGTCAGTCTTTTTGTGTACTGCTGGTCTCATGGTCAGTGCCAGCAGTCAGTCAGTCAGTCAGCCACCTGTTGATGTAATGATGATGACATCACCAGATCAACTTGATTGCATCAAACTGTATGAATGTCAATTACTCGTGAGTAACCAAGCAATATACACACATACATACAAGGAGACTGTCGTCATCGGTGGTCTGTCTTTTTCCTACTAGATGGTCCTTGTCAGGGCCTCCGTAGTCCCATATTTTCACCCTCCTTGACAAATGTACACAGTGACAATATACACATGCAGAAAGTACAGCAGCGAAAACGCTCACACATACATACACAGAACGTTGCAGCAGCAGTACAGACTGGTAACAGTTGCGCAGCAATTTGTGTGTAGAAATGTAGCTTCCTTCCATGTTTTCTGCCCAGTGCACAAGCACACTTTTCTGCACTTTGTGTGAACACAGAAGGAATCATGTCATAACACCTCTATAGTAGTGGACTTGACTGGGGTTTCCTAGATTCCCCTTGTTTGGGGTCATCTAAAATTATTGTACCAATTAAAGACACTGGAAATCAGAGGATGGGTTCCAAGATGATGTGTCAGCAATAAATACTGAGATTAAATTATAATCTTTGTAAGAGCGCAATATAACTGAAACTGGAGAATGGTTTACATAAATAATGGTTTTGAACTTATTCTTCTTCTTCTTCAATTCCTCGTTAATGTGTTTTGGGGGGGGGGGGGGGGGGGGGGGGGAAATATTCTGTGGGATCTTTTTCAATATAACCTTGCTGATGAGGAAGCTGAAATCAAAGGATGGTTGCCAAGGTAACAACATTAATGTCAGCTCTGGCATAGAAAGACATGTGGCAGGGGAATATACAATTGATAGAGTGGCTTTCTGGTTAGCCAAGCTTGGAGGAAAATCCTAAGAAGAACCTGCTATATGATAATAACTTACACACTTACGCTTACATCAGTGTCTATGAGGTAAATATATTCACACTACCTACACCATCACCATCATTCATTCATAAAAAACATCTTCATAAGAAACTCATACGAAGCATTAATAATTCCCCAAGATATAAACGAGCGCATGTAGTTGAGATGAACTCCCTTGTAGAGTCCAGTGAGTCCGTTCCTCTCGGTCACAACTGTTCTCAAGGTGGTCAACATGCTGGTGTAAGGTCCTCCCAGGACACACTGCATGCGGATCTTCACCACATTGACGGGAAAGAACACTGTACTGATCACAGCTCCAAGGCAGGCACCACTGATAAAGTCCAAAGCCATCTGGGAACATACATTGTATACAAACTTTAATCACATACTTCTTCTTTTGTCAAAATCTGCTTGTGCCGCTAGGCGTCGCAGTCTATCAGATGATCGGCAACCGAGCCAGGGCGCGCTCAGTCGCTTCATATGCTGTGATGTTATGAAGTCTCAAGTTGTCCGTGACTCCTTCAATCCATCTTCTTCTTGGTCTTCCCCTGCCTCTTGGTGTTTCGATTTTCATGTTGTATGCTCTTGATGCTGGCATCGTTGGTTCCATTCTCATTAGGTGACCAAATCATTTCATTCTTTGCCTCTCAATAAATTTAACGATGGGTATGGTTCCAATAGTTCTTGTAATCACATCGTTTCTCACTCGATCTCTTCTGGTTTTATTCGCAGCCATTCTCAAACATCTCATTTCACAGGTGGTTAGTCTTCTCTCGTGTTCTTTTGTTAATGTCCAAGTCTGACACTGATAACCTAATGTCGGTATAAAGATTGTATTTATAATTTGTCTTTTTATCTCAGCTGGGACAGCAGGGTGTTTTAAAATTGGGGCAAGCTGGTATGCGACATTGTTGGCTTGTTGGATTCTTGCTTCGATCTCTCTGTCTATTTTACCATTGGATGTAAAGATAATTCCCAAGTATTTAAATTCTTGCACTTGTTTTAGGCTGTGATCTAGAATCTTTATGTCGATGGTCTGTTGCTCTCTACTTATGCTCATGACTTCTGTCACATACACAACGACAAATATAGTGCCTTTTAGAATACATTTAGATTAAGCTCTCTATTTTTCAAGTCAACAGAAAAAAACTGGCTGTTTTCCAAAAACAACAATAAACTGTAATGTCACAAACTGTGAATATCTAGGCCTTATAATAAATAGCAATAGAGACAGTTTGACAGAAATCAAAAGAAGAATGGCCATAGCATTGCAAAGATTAAACAGCATTAAAAGTCTATGGTTAAGCACCAGCATGAAAATTAAAATTCTGAGAGCATGCATCTTCCCTGTATCAACATATGGATGTTCAGGTTTTGAACAACGGATCAACATCATGGCACATTGGTAGTAACCCATAAGTGCTCTGTTCTTTCTCTAACTCAAGTCTGAGTCTGAAGAAGCTCAGTACAGTGCAAAGGCTCTGTAGCACCTGAAATCCTTTGGGCATGCTTCGTGCAGAGTGGCATGCTTCGCTGCGGAGGACACGAGTGAGGAGTATTGTCTGGATTTTTCCCCCGGGTTACGCCGGTGTGTTGGGAAATGAACAGGCGGACAGACTGGCTGGCTCTGCACAACTTAGTGGAATACTGCTACATGATAGGGCAGACGTGGTTAGTGCCTTGTGGGAGCGTGTGTACAATGCGGAGGAGCAGATGGATCACCACAGTTTGGTGAGATTGATGCAGTTGGGGGTGACGAGAGGTTCTGGCAGAGGCTCAAGGCTCAGAGGAAAGGCAAGAAGGACATTTAATCAGAAAGCTACTGGCACCATTAGTATCGGAACTCTTCGCTGGCTGCTGAAGATGGAGACGGAGCACTTATGGGAATGTCCCGGGTGCTGTGATGTCGGTTCTTGAATCAAATCAAATCAAAATCCTTTGGGCAGATTTTTCGCTCCAAATTTTGCCTGGGCAGCCTCGTTAGGCTTCTCTTTTCAATTTTCAAACATGTGCAAAAATACACAAGGGCGTCCTACCTCACTACTCAGAGACCAGGGGGAATTACTATAAGTCCAAGTCTACGTAAAAAAATCCCAGCCCTTACCGAGGATTGAACCCGGAACCTCTAGCACTCGAGGTGGACACCATGCCTCTAGACATGCAGCCCCACATATGGATGTGAGTCGTGGTAGACTTGAGAAAAAAAAAGAGGGGCTTTTGAGCTGAATGCTATAGAAATATTCTCAGAATATCATGGACAAAGAAGAGGAGAAATACTGACATTTAAAAAAGATCTGACACATCAGGGAAGATTGGCTAATAAACAGCATCTTGTCTCGGAAGCTGAAATATATTGGTCATTTCAAGCGCCATGGTGGATTGGAAAAAATAATAACAGAAGGCATGGTACTGGGAAGGAGAGTCAGGAGCCGACCAACACGAAGATGGGCACAGGATATAAGTGACTCCTTGAATATGAAACTACATGAGGCGTTAAGCTGGCGAGAGACCGAGTTTCTTTTAGGCAGACCGTGATGAGAGCAAAGTTCTGCAAAGGACTTGCTACATGATGGTGATGACCTTTCAAGGCTTCCTATCCCCTGGCAGTTTTCTGTCTTCCCAGACGATAGTGTTATAATGGCAGACAGGCTCAGTCTCCCAAGGGATACTGACAGTAGTATCCCAAATGGCAGTAAAATTACCAAAATGTGAATTTATCACTGAAGATTACTAGTTTTTTTAATACATTTTTCTTATGTGGGTTCTGGAGGCACGCTGTCAGGAAAACAAGAACAAACTGGCTGCCCCTACAACAAGCATGTCATAGAAGCCAACTAATTGGGGGCACCCTTTGAAGTTAAGAGTACATCTGCAAGAGAGGCAAGCAACCAACAGTCTGCATACAAAGAAGCCAAATGTATGAAATGACAATCAGGTTCTGGAGCAAGACCTGTTCGGAGGTGGACAAACACCCAGAGCTTTCTGCCAGTGAACGTGAAGAAGAAGAACAAGAATACATTAACACTTCTCCTTTATTTCATTTCATATTTTCTAATCTCCCTTTTTTGACCAACTCAAGGACACAAAATTACTGTGTAACTACATGTAACTATAGGGTGCCCTTTAGAGGTCAGAATAACAGTTGTGCAAGCTATATAGAGCCAGTTTTAACATATGGCTGGACAATTAATAAACAAGCCCAACAATTTCTTGAGACCTCAGTGATGTAGTATCACAAAAGAGTCCTCAGAATTACTTCGACAGCTGAAACAAAAAAATATTTGAAAGGAACTCAATGCGCTGAACATCGAACATGATGGTAGCAATGCCCATGCAACATAGAATGCTGCTCACAATGTATTAGCACTTCATCATCTCAGTGATGAATTATGGACTGGGACTGCTCACTGTATCAAAGTCAGCAAATTTATCCTTGCCTCAAATAAAAAACATCACTTTACCAAGCATTTAAACCCACCCTGACTATGAAGTTCTAATCACTTAGCCAGACGCTTTTGGACAGAAAATGCGACTAGAAAGCTCAATGGATGCAATGAAAAATACGCAAGACATAAGAAGCATACTTTATAAAAACGTAGGAATGAAAACCATATACGTGCAAAACTTGGAGCACTTTAGCTGAAAGCAAGAGTTTTAAAGTGTACCAGCTTACCTTCTCCCCAGGAGACTGGACCTGCGGACTCAGATGCTGGAGGTACTCCCTGCCTAGAAAGAAAGCAACATTACTGGGCCCATTTCTGCAAATGATTGCAGTCAGGCCTCTGTAATATTCACGCAACCCATAACTCCTGAGATTGTAAAATGCATCCAGCGTATTGCTGAACTTGTTATGGTACTCTCTGCTTTGCATAAGTGCTTGAATCCTTTCGAAAGGTGTGAAGACTGCCTCCACAGTACCAGCTCCAATTGCTGCCAGTGTGTGATTCATATAGATATTCATTTTGGGTAGTCTGTCATTGAAGAAATCCTGAAATTTATAATACATGCCAAACATAACAGAAAGAGATGACGACTTCTGTAACAACGGGGGTAAAAGACCACGATATAGAAACCTTGGACCATCTTTCCGTAGTTGATTAATTGCTCTTAAGCCAGATATCCCATGAAGCTGTTGTCGGAACATGATTTTGTTCAAAGGAAACGTGATACATATATTAATGAAGGCAGCACCCCAACCACACACAAACTCCCCCTCTCGCTGAATGTGTGGCCGGAAATGTAAAGGCACTCCAATCTGCTCTTGGGCAGTGATATGAAGGTTTGTGTTCTCTAGCTCCAAGTTTGTTAGACTCTCTTTCCTAGGGTGCGCCCCAGTCCTCAAGGAAGATTTGGATGCTAGCAGTGGTGTATGGGAGGCAGCAGCAACTACAGCTGAGGGCGCTGAAAGAGATGATGTCTGGGAAGCTGCCAGATGTTCAATCATGGAAGAAGATACTGGTGGAATAGTTGTCTCCATGTTCTCTGACTTGGCTGAAACTCCTCTGAACAACCAGAACACGGGAGACAAAGAAACATTGGCTGACTGGGCTCTCATGTTACAGTCTGACTTATATCCATGAGCTGTGGATGCAGCAGTGAGTGGAGCTGTGGATACAGCAGTGGGTGGAGCTCTGGATGCAGCCGGCCATGTTGTTGGTGTATATAAGTCATGATGTACCATCTTTTGTGACGATTTTTGTAAACAGAAGAATTCTTCCACATTTTGGTTACAAGTTTTGTCTTCAGTCATGTCCACACATTATCATTCAGAAAAAAGCCCACTTGAAATTTGTTCTGTAAATGAATTAAATAAAATAAGTATTCCAAGACCTGTTCTACTCACATTTTATGTTATTTAGCACTACCTGTTACAATAAATATTTCGCTAGCACTTTCCAGCTTCACCAAAACGGTGTAAGACTAGAGCAGTGACTACTGTAACTAATTTAATTACTTGTTAAGCAAACTTTCTTGGGATTTTCAAATTTGCTTTGTATAGTGTAGTGAAACTTTACAAACACCCTGTACAATTATTCAAAATGATAAATGTCAAGCAGTCTGCTGGCAGTGGGCTACTTTATTTGAGGCAAAGTTATCAGAAATCAATATTGATTTTTACCGTCTTCAACTATTTTTGATGATATAATGTCATACATAGATCTAAGGAAGTAACAATAAAATAACACTTCGCCCCGCGCCCCGATAAAAAAAAAGACGTTATAGAATAAGTCGGCACTCTTCCGAATACCGGCCCCATATTATTTGCTGTGCAAAACATTCCTGTTAGAGCCTCAAAGGGTTCAAGAGGTTACAAAGAGGTTAAGGGGTTATAAAGAGGTTATACAAAATATGGAACAACAAAAAATGGTACAATACGTACCAATAATGCCGTGAAATAATTGCGGCCATCATCATCAGTTTCCACATCTGCGCGTTAAGCGTTGTGAGAAATAGTTTTCGATCGACTGAAGTGACGTAGGGAGGAATAATTTTCGATCCATCGGAGCGCTAAAGTGACGTGGGGAGGATTAATTTTCGATCCATCGGAGCGCTGAAGTGACGTGGGGAGGAATAATTTTCGATCCATTGGAGCGCTGTGTCGATGGGTAGCAACGTTGAGATCATCATCATCAGTGTAGCAACGTTAAGATTATCATCATCAGTGTAGCAACGTTAAGATCATCATCATCAATTTTTACTGCTGCCGTTAAGCGCCGTGAAATAATAACTGAGGCACTGAAACAAGTGTCCCCCCCACCCCCGCTCCTTTTCTCCCTCCACGACATGGGGAGGAATAATTTTCGATCCATCGGAGCGCTGTGTCGATGGGTAGCAACGTTAGAGTTGAGACGTAGCGGGCATTCTCAGACCAGCCGACAACTTTGATGTCCAGAGTTCAAACAGGATAGCAGGTCCAGTTGTCTAAGCAAGCAAATTTCGCACATTAATGTGATACACGTAATCTACCTAGTGATGTTACAACATACTCGTAATCACAAGGGCGGAACTTGGACAACAGGGTAGAACATTTACGGATGCCTGTGACCTGATTGATTCTATTATACTTTCATACTGTGCCAAAAGAGAAAATCTAACCATTTTTCGAAAATAAAAATTTCAAAAATGGAAATATTTGAACTACTGCATGTAAACAGTGAAAGCAGGTGCAAACATTAGTTAAGCAATATAAAAGTAACCTGCAGTCTTCATCTTTTATCATCTTACCAAAAGTATATCTATATCGATAAACGCCTTTTCCCTTCTCCCGAGGATACTCAGTCAGCTCAATATATTTCACGAGTCTTTATTAGGCTGTATCTGTTTAACCAGGGACTATTACAACCAACCAATAATCGACTTCGGTAACAATAATAACCACGTATTGATGCCCTTCCAAGTAGCGACAAGTCACACACAAGACATTTTTTGTGGGTTCCAAGGAGGAAAAAAAAAGAATTGATCCACTGCCACCTGAAAAGAATGTTGTAAAAGGCAACTAATTATGACTGCTGAAATCAGATGTGTTGGGGCGAAAGGCGCAGATATCGCAACCTAGCACGAAAGGCGCAGATATAGCAGCGTATTTGTAAACCACAATACACTATGCCAACCGCCATTTCAAGGGCGAAAAAAAAAAAAAAAAGAGATTAGCTGCCCTTGACACGACCATTTAGCACTTCGCGCCCGCTATCGCAGCCTAGCTGTTAACCACAAGACTGAGTGAAGGGCACAAATATCGCAGCCTAGTTGTAACCACAACACAACGTGCAAACCACCCTTTTAAAGAAAAGCCCGACCACCAGCGTAACAAGCAGACTGCTTATCAACTGTACTAGCGAAGCAGATATCGTAGCTGTAGCGAAGCAGATATCGTAGCCTAGTTGTAACTACAAAACAACGTCTAAATTACCCTTTTAGAAGTTTAAAAAAAAATTTGCCGCCGCTATCGCAACCTAGCTGTTAACCACAAGACCGAGTAAAGGCGCGCTATCGCAGCCTAGCTGTTAACTACAAGACCGAGCGAAGGGCGCAAATATCGCAGTCTAGTTGTAACCACAACACAACGTGCAAACCACCCTTTTAAAGAAAAGCCCGACCACCAGCGTAACAAGCAGACTGCTTATCAACTGTACTAGCGAAGCAGATATCGTAGCTGTAGCGAAGCAGATATCGTAGCCTAGTTGTAACTACAAAACAACGTCTAAACCACCCTTTTAGAAGTTTAAAAAAAAATTTGCCACCGCTATCGCAACCTAGCTGTTAACCACAAGACCGAGTAAAGGCGCGCTATCGCAGCCTACTAGCTGTTAACTACAAGACCGAGCAAAGGGCGCAAATATCGCAGCCTAGTTGTAACCACAACACAACGTGCAAACCACCCTTTTAAAGAAAAGCCCGACCACCAGCGTAACAAGCAGACTGCTTATCAACTGTACTAGCGAAGCAGATATCGTAGCTGTAGCGAAGCAGATATCGTAGCCTAGTTGTAACTACAAAACAACGTCTAAACCACCCTTTTAGAAGTTAAAAAAAAAATTTGCCGCCGCTATCGCAACCTAGCTGTTAACCACAAGACCAAGTAAAGGCGCGCTATCGCAGCCTAGCTGTTAACTACAAGACCGAGCGAAAGGCGCAATCACAGCCTAGCAGTTAACCACAAGACCGAGCGAAGGGCGCAATCGCAGCCTAGCTGTTAATCACAAGACCGAGCAAAGGGCGCAAATATCGCTGCTTATCAACTGTACTAGCGAAGCAGATATCGTAGCCTAGTTGTAACTACAAAACAACGTCTAAACCACCCTTTTAAAAGTTAAAAAAAAAAATTTGCCGCCGCTATCGCAACCTAGCTGTTAACCACAAGACCGAGTAAAGGCGCAAAACCACCCTTTTGCAAGACCGAGCAAAGGGCGCAAATATCGCTGCTTATCAAATGTACTAGCGAAACAACGTCTAAACCACCCTTTTAAAAGTAAAAAAAAGAAATTTACGCCGCTATCGCAACCTAGCTGTTAACCACAAGACCGAGTAAAGGCGCAAAACCACCCTTTTGAAGAAAAAAAAGAAAAATGTAATTGACCGCCGGAGAATCGAACCCTGATCACCGGCGTAACAAGCAGACTGCTTATCAACTATACTAGGGAAGACTCGGTAATTTCGTTACGAAATTATATAATAAAAGAAAGCATAGTTTGTAGTGTTCCTGTTCCATATTTTTAACTACATGACCTCTCAAGTCCCTAACAACGACCTCTTGAGGCCCTGAATGGGATTTTTTGTCTTTGAATAATATGGGGCCGGTATTCGGAAGAGTCCAACTGAAAACTGCTCGAACTTGTTCTGAAATGCCAGATCACCTGGTTAGATTACCTTTAAGATAAGTTGGATAGCAAACTGACAATAAATTAGCTATTTGTAACAAAGTTTCACTGTATTAGTATAATATTGGCAGAGGATCTATAGATCCTGATAAAAAAAATATTCAAAAGAAAGAAAACCTAATTCGTTGCAAGGTCCAACAATCAACTTCACACGAAGTTGTGATTTTTTTTAAATATTTATTTACGATCCTCCTTAGACCGGATCTTCAACAAGCTACGAAAATAATCTTACTCGAGCATGTTAATTCAACTTAACTTTCGTTAGTTTACAATCAGTCAATTAAATTACAAATAATATGTAGAACACAAAATCTACTACTAGACTATACTTCTTAGTAACTTACGTCTTACTTCTTCTCATCTCGCAGCCTCTCCGCACTTGCCAAGGAGGTGAACACAAATATGTTGTGTATGCACCTGTTGGTGCTATTTTTTGTACCTCCCTGCAGACACAAAACGGACGAAAAACACGACTAGGATGATAAATTTACTAGTACCACTAGAGTCGGACATGTCGTGTCCCTCCATGACCGTGTCAACTTAGCATAAGTCAACTTTGACCTTTGACTGCCGTCGTGTAGATCTTTGGTTGATATCGTATTTTATCTTCTCCATTGTTCTTGTGCCGGGCTGACCAAGAAGATGGCGGAGAGGTAATATAAACATTATATGGGCAGACCTACACATACCTGGAGTTACCAACTGAAAGAGAAGGCTAATCAGAGAGCAATAGGGGGGCAGATAATACCTACAGCGAGGGCTCAATGTGCTAGAGAAAAAGAAGAAGAAAACGAGGGGGAAGATGAAAGTGATTGTTGTTCTTGTGGTGCCATACCATAAGAGATATATGCCCCCCCCCCCCCCCAAAAAAAAGAGGGTGGGGGGGGGGGCGGAGACAAAACTGTAAAAATATATGTGATTTTTTTTTTAAAGGATAAATTTAAAAAGCTAATTTTGGGGAAGGGGTGGTAGGACATTTCTCACACCAAGTATCACCTGACCTTGCCACGCCACTGCCAAGAATAAGCTGTAAAGATGACATCAGAGAAACTCCACATATACATCATGCGTCTCTGGTCAAGGCAAGAACCAAAACTGTGTATCCCGAAGCGCTTGATGAGAAAGTGAAGACGAATAAGGGTCGATGGGTTAGTTCTTGGACTGTTGCAAGTTTGTAAAACATGGACATGGTCATACAAGTTTAAAAACATCTAATGGCAGCGAGGATGTGGTTTCTGAGATTATATCGATATCGTGATAGACTGTTTGTATGTCTGTCCCCCCCCTCCCCCCGGGCTGCTACCTCAATGTCTGACCACCTAAATGACTCCAAGAGTTGGTTCCTGGATGGCAAGCTTGCAAGGCAAAGCCT